GTGATCCGGTTCAGAATGAGGGGCAAGTTGGGGCCCCGGTTCATAGGTCCATTTCGTGTAATTGCAAGGGTAGGTCGGGTAGCTTATCGGTTGGAGTTGCCAGCAGAGTTGGGACAAATTCACAATACCTTTCACGTATCACAGTTGAGGAAGTGTATAGCCGATGAATCGGCAGTGGTTCCGTTAGAGGATATTCAGGTGGATGCGAGCCTGAATTACGCTGAGAGACCAGTAGCTATCAGGGATCGGAAGATCAAGGTTCTGCGGAACAAGGAAGTACCTCTGGTGTTGGTTCAGTGGCAACATCGGAAAGGATCGGAGATGACTTGGGAGCCGGAGCGTGAGATGCGGGAGCAACATCCGGAGTTATTCGCAGAGTGAGACTTCGAGGGCGAAGTCTAGTTCTAGTGGGGGAGAGTTGTAACAGCCCGGAATTTCAGGTATTGCTTTAAAACTATTTTTGGAGCATTTTAGGAAGGGACTCGGTGAGTTGGTTCCTGACTCGCCGAGTAGGACCACAGGCTTGGTCGCGGGTTCGCGACTGGACTCGACGAGTCCAGATATGGACTCGGCGAGTCGACGCTGTTCAGCAGAAACCCTAGCCGTTTGGTTTGGATCGTATATAACGCCTCTTAGGCCGTCATTGTTCGTCTTTTGGCCGATTGAGAAGAACCCTAATCGTTTGTGGACGTCTAGAGCAGGAGGGAAAGCTATTGGAACTTTGAGGAATTGTTAGGCAAGAAGAAGAAGAGTGGTGGCCAAAGGAATATCAAGGAGGATCGAGTCCTGAGGTTTGGAGACACAGAGAGTGCGTTTCAGGTAATACTCGGACCATTTCTGTTGTTTTGATGTGTACACGAATCTAGGGTTTATGAAACCCATTTGGTGATTAGATAGATCATAATGTTGTTACCCAAGCGTTTATACCCCAGTAATAGGATGTTTAGAGGTCCAGAAAGTCCCATGATTGCATATTTCGGGACCATGCATATTTCAGGAAGCAGTTGATCGACTGCATGGCATGGACTCGCCGAGTCCAATGATCAGACTCGGCGAGTAGCTTGAAGATTCACTAGGACTCGCCGAGTTGTTCTTCAGGCTCGGCGAGTAGCTTGAAGATTCACTGGGACTCGCCGAGTTGTTCTTTAGACTCGGCGAGTGGAGTCGGGGTGGCCCCGCGATTCTTCCATGAGGATCTCGTCGAGTCAAGAGGGATACTCAACGAGTAGAAAGGGGACAACAGGGAAAGATGGGGAGGACGTCTAGACTCGCCGAGTCGCCTTTTCACTCGACGAGTCCGGTCAAGTTGACCGTTGACCAGAGTTGACCTGCATGTAAATTCTTAGGGTCAGTTGTCTTGAATAATAAGAGTATTAATAAGGGTATATGGTATTATAGGGAGTCTGCAGATCGGCGGATCGAGTGCGAGTAGTTTCAAGAGTTGATAGCACTTAGGGTAATGTTCCTAGTCCAATTCCAGCCAAAAAATTCGAATTTATGCTGTCTGGGGGTCCAACTCGTCGAGTGCACTAACCAACTCGGCGAGTTGGATGCTTTTTTCCTTGGACTCGTCGAGTCCCTTCATGGACTCGGCGAGTCTGCTGGGCAGACAACATCAAAACTCGATTTTTCAGCTCCATTTCCAAGTATAACAAGAAAACAAACCTGGCTCTGATACCACTACTGGGTTTTGAGCATTCTAACACTCCTATGGTGTACATGCAACCCTATAAACCTTGGATCTATGTTTTCTCTATGATACATGCAAATAAGAACTTTCCAAGGCTTTAATCCTAACTAGCATATTATGAAGATCTCATACTACAAAGTACTAGTTAGATGACATACCTTTTGATGTAGCTTGATGTCTTCAAGCTTTAAGAGCTTAGCCCCAATAGTGTGGAAGCCTCAAGTGGAATCACAAATCACCAAAACAACTTGGAAGACTTTAGAGAATATGGATACTTGGTTCTCTCTAGTGAAATCGGCTAGCCCTTTTTAGTGTACCACACTAGTGCCAATTTCACCAACCAAGGACATCTTTATATAGTGTGGAGGATTAGGATTACACCCTAATACCCATGACCTTTCATTTCCTAGGATCCATGGGTTAAACACTCCATGGACTATCCATGAAAGCTTAGCCCAACCTAAATGAACTTGGCCCATTCCATATATAAGAGTCCATATTTAATTAGTTCCTTTTGATCACTTAATTAATTATAAATTAGTTCTTGATCAATACTAATTAAATAATATGATTCCATAATAATATATTAGAACTTCTAATATATTAATATTAATCATAAACATGCTATTCTCAAAAGATTATCCATATAAATTGTGTCGGTGAAGTGCAACCCAAATGGACCATGTCGGGTCGGGTCAAGTACATACCAAATATAGTTATGGACTTAGACATTAATCCAACAAAAACATTAAAAACTCGGAAAATATAGGGGTATGAACTCACCTTATGTGGGTGATTCGATTGAAGGCTCGCGTAAGGATGAGAAGTTCCACGAATGAATTCTGGAGACACAAAAGAGTCCTAAATGACATATAATGGCATATATATATATATATATATATATATATATATATATATATATATATATATATATATATATATATATATATATATATAGGCATGTAATTAGTGTTTTGGACAACTAACATGCAAGGAAACACCCTTTGGAACTAGGAAACACTTGAAACTAACTGTTACAATCACATGTGATTGACTAAAAGGAGTTTGCGGCCACTCAAGAGAGTGTAAAGCCAAGGGTGTACGGTCATGGGGTGTACGGTCATACACCCATGGATGAAACATGCAAAAAGGGTGATTTGATCCATAGGGAAACTAGTGGGTCTTATGTTCATCAAGAAGATAGGCAAAATACTCAATTTGGACCATATTTGGGTGTGTACGGCCAACCTATGAAGGGTTTACGGTCGTACACCCTTCAAGATCATGAAGGTTATGCCGAAATATGAAGAATAGAGGCTTAGATCTAGTGGTGTTTCTAGCATAACAAGTTTAAGGTTGAAATACTTTTGGAGCCTTGATGTGTTCACATCCGATGATAGTTGAGAGAGAATGGGAGTGATCTCGGTTGGGAGGAGGAGAAATGAGGAGAAATTGATCACTATATATATTTATAGAGGGTGGTGTACGGTCGTAGACCTATGTACGGTCGTACACACCTTGTGAGGGGTTTTCCGGACTGAGTACATCTCTCCAACCTCAAGTAAACACCAAGGTTAGAAGCTCTTGAAGAGAAAGGATGGAATATGACACACATGGGGGTGAGTTCACGACCACCTTGAGTATACAGCTGTGCACCCATGTGTGCAGCTGTACACCCATGTGTGCGGCCGTACACTCCTCTTGAATAGTGTTTGGCTTGAATGAAACCCGATGAACTTAAAATAACTCATCCCCAAACCCAAACCTTGAATGTACTAGGCTTAGAACACTCAAACAGACCCTAAACAATGCTAAAATATAGCAAAAACGAGTCTGACTTTCAATTATCGAGGTAACTTAGAGATAGAGATTTTCGGGTTGTCACAGAATCAGATAAAATCACAACATTACAGATTTCCATAGTAAAAATGGATTAATTCTATTTTTATTTTTGTTATATAATTTTTTGTGTTACTTTTTGCTTATGAGATTTTTTGTCAAATAAAGAAATAAGTGGGGAAAAGGATTCACATGGAATGAAACGTGAGCCTTGTTGCCTTTAAATATCTTATGAAGCATATATTCGTTATGTTTTCTAATGGTCATTTGCAACTTGTAGTCGTGTTCTTTGTTGACACCTTTCATCTAAGTGGAAAAATTATATATGTTGAAGGCCTCGTCGGACATTTGTTATGGGATTTTTTTTGTTGGTATGGATATTGCTAATTCCTTTTTTTATGGTGAAAATCTTCAGATTTTTAAAGCTAATTTAGTATTTTTTTTTTTTAATCATTTTGTCCTTTCATAGTAAGTTTCATTCTTTGGTTTGTTTCATTCTAGAGTAATGAAATTTATTTGATTTACCTAATGAATTTTAGTTAAAATCTGCAAATATTCTTTCAGAATGGCAAAGACTTTAGAATAAGGTATGCCAATATTATTTCAGAATAAGGAAGAATAATATTCTTTGGGTTCTCATGCAAAATTCTTTGGTTATGACTGTGGAATGTATTATGTCAGAATCACTAAGAATATATATTAGAATCTTGTTATTATTCAACCGAGGATTTAAGAATTATGTTATTTTTCAATAATATTTTAATAGAATAAAATCCTGAAAGAACATTATTCTAACAAAAAACATTCCGGCGAAATAAAAATAATTATGTTTACAAATTACGTTAGAATTAAAATTGAATTAATTTAAAAAATTTAGATTTTTAAAATTAGGATAATTAATTATCCCTAAAAATAATTTTCATGTTTTTAAATATAATTATCTGTCCAAAATACTTTTATGTCGGAATTTATGTGATTATATGGTAGATGTTATCTTATTGTAATATTATAGACCTTCAGATCATGATCATTGATTATATTTCATCCATTTGTCCAAAATTATACTTACAAGTACATAATAAACAATAGAAACACATAAATATAACAAAATTATTTCTTTTTTGACTAACCGTTCAAACGAAAAAAAACGTCATTGCTACCCGTTCTTGTCGTAACGTGCCTCATCTACATGTCCACCTCGACAATAACGGCCCTTAACGCCCCGTACCGAACATACCGAACACGATAAATATTTAAAAGATTTTAGATCAAGACAAATGGACTTTTGCTTTTATTAAATCTTTGAATTCATTAAATATTTTAAAGATTTTATTCGCAGAACAAAAATCCATGAAAGCTGTCATCTACGTGTCCAGTCAGTGGTCGTCCACGTCAACACCAGCCAAAAACAACAGGATCATATTGATCATACGTAAAACTTAAAGATCGGGCTCCACCTAAATTACTGCAAATGGAAGTTACTGTTACACAAACCATATACACACGTGCCTATAACTCCTTACCCTGCCACCGACACGTGTCAGTCATTAAGCACCCCTTTGTAGCTCAAAAAACAAAAACGCTTGTTTCGTCTTTTGTTTTTGTTTTCTCAGAAGGCTTACGTGGCAGACTATTCTCTCTTCTATTCCTCCACGTGTGACCTCAACTTCTATCTTTAACAATCTTTCAAGGGTGTTTTCGTAATTTCAACTATCTCAACACATTAAAAATCTCCCCACTTTCTTCTCCCCTTCCGCACCTATACTTTATCTCTCCGTAAAACAATCTTTCTCTCTCTCTCTCTCTCTCTCTCTCACAGCCGGCGGAGCAAAATCCGGCAAGATTTTCCCCGGAAAATCTTCTTGATATTCTGTGGATTTATAGAGGTATCTTTTGTTTTTCACCAAATCGATTCAAAATAAATGTTTTTTTGAATTTTAAAATAAAATCGCCATTGATGCTTGAAAAATTACGCCGGGGACTTCATAAAGAGAAGCAAATTAATATTCTATAACGGTCGGATGGATTTCTTGAAAACGATTGAATGCGGCGGTGGTGGTGGTGGCGGAGGCGGGGATATCCATTCTTTGAAAGAGGAGACGCTCGGTGAAGAAAACGTAGAGCTTAGTTTAGGTTTGTCGTTGAACGGACGATTTGGGGTGGAACGACGGAGAGCGGTGGCTAATGATTACTATGACAACAATAACAGATTAATCCGTGCTTCCTCCGTAGCAGATTTCTCGAGTTTTCCGTCGGCAATGGAAGATCCGACCGCATTGACGGTGTATCCGCCGTTAACCAGGACGTGTTCGCTGCCGATCGAGATGGGGGATGAGTGGAAGAAGAGGCAGGAACGGCAGTCGTTACGGCGGTCGGAGGCGAAGAGGAAGCGTGTTGAAAAGCTTAAAAATGGGAAAGTTGTGAAAGGGTTGTTGACGTCGGAGGAGAATTACGATGCAAAAAGAAGAAATGTAATGAAGGGAAACGATCAGTCATGGCAACCACCACCGCAGTCACTGTTACCTCCACTGCCACGGCCGTCGCCGTTTCCGTCGCAGGTGTCCATCGGCTCTCCTGCTAGCGGCGGATCTTCTGGTGTTTCTGATTTGGAAAGTCAACCTTTTTCAGGTATATAACTTTTATTTGTTTCGATCCATGAGATTTATTTTGATAATATTATTATATGGTAATATGGTAATTACCACAATTAATGTTAATATAGGAAAAGAAATAAAGGGTAGGATTAAATACAATAAAATAGCAAAAGTTGTTTTGAGATATTAGTTTTTATTCTCATTACAAGATTATATTCAATTATCTCGATTTTATTAAGATACAGAGTATATTTTTGTGGTCATAATTAAGTAGATGTTGATAGTACAAAAGCCAATTGTCCCTTTTTTTTTTAATAAAAAAGGATCAAATAAGCTATTAGGGGTGTCTTTATTTTCAATAACTTGTTAAAAATGGTCCTGCAGTTGCAAAAGTTCTATATGAACTTTTTCATTGTTTTATTAGTTTTAGTTTGTTAAGTACAGTAACTACAACTAATAGTTTGTTAGTGAACCCTACAAATGAAAAAACTCTACTATAATAAATGGGTATTAAGGTTTGTACTTGTTAAGTTCGCAATCATGATCATGTGCCATATGAAGGAGTGGAAATCCTTAGATATTTTTGTCATATATTATATATTTTATCTATTTTGTCACATGTAATTTTATAGTTATTTTAAATTAATTTTTATTTCATATGTAATTTTATGGTTTTTTCATTTTATTAAACTGTAAATAATATTTATATTCAATAATAAATGCATATTAATTTCATTAATGAACTTTCCTTCTAATTTTAAAATTATCAAATTAAAAATTTATTAATTTTCTTTATTTATTTATCTAAACTATTCTTTTAAATTTAAAAGAGAAAAAAAAACACTTTAAATTTTATAATTCTATATTTTCTCACTTATTTTCAAATGTTTAGAATTTTCTATTTAATTTTTTTTTTAAATAAGATCATGTAATACATGGGTCTCACACCTAGTATATATATATATATATATATATATATATATATATATATATATATATATATATATATGATCTAATCCTTAAATAAACAAACCAAAAGAAAAAATGAAAGGACAATGCTATAATTAATGAATTTCTTGGTAATATTATCTTAATAAAAATACTGAAACTATTAAGCATAAATAAATGAAAGTACGATTTTGTAATAAAAAAATAAATAAACAAAGTGATTTCTTGCATTTAGCTTTTAAAACTAACGGATAATTGTTTTGTAACAAATTGGAATTGGTTATGCTTAACTTTTGTATATTTTAGGAAATACAATATTGATTTGCAACGATATTATTAGCATGTAGATGAATGGGAGCTCATCTTTAACGTATTTCAATTTTATTTCATATGTTTTAGAAATTAAAAATCAATCCATATGATCTTTGCATATAACTCACTACAATATTGATTAAATGATAGGTATAAATAAAGATGGTGAGTTGAAGAGCACGGCTAGTCAACATTCCATTTTGCATAAGTTCCCAAGTTCGACCCCTTATAGATCAAACTCTCTTGTTTCAGACAAGTCCACAAATGAAACCCTAAAGATGATGTTTGCGGATATGCCTTGCGTTTCCACAAAAGGAGAGGGTGTTAATGGCAAGAAGATCGAAGGGTTTTTGTACAGATATAGAAAAGGAGAACAAGTCAGAATCGTTTGTGTTTGTCATGGTAACTTTCTAACTCCAGCAGAGTTTGTGAAACATGGTGGTGGTGGTGACGTGGAACATCCTCTTAGACACATTGTCGTTAACCCACCTTCTTTATAATATATGAACAATGGAAAAACCGTTGGATTAGACAATCCTTTTATGGACCAAGTTAAATGTTAAATAAAGTTTTGTTGTCTTCATATAGACATAGTAGAGAACAAATGTACATTTATTGTCGTCTTTTTAATATATTAGCTAGTGAAACTTTTGAGGTTTATTTGCTAAAGTTTTCCTTGTTTGGAATGTCAATGTAGTTATAAGTTCAATGTCATAAATTATAAGTCAAGTCATAAATCATTGGAGAATCTCGGTACTTATATCAATTAGATGTTTAAACATCCACAAGAAAATATTTTTGAAATCTCAATGTAGTTATAAGTTCAATGTCATAAATTATAAGTCAAGTCATAAATCATTGGAGAATCTCGGTACTTATATCAATTAGATGTTTAAACATCCACAAGAAAATATTTTTGAAATCGAGAAAATTGTAAAAAGTTCTTATATATTAGTTTTATAATCGATTTAATTTTTATATATTTTTCTTATTCAATTAAATCTTAAAAACCGGTAATCGTATTCAATTTGATCTTTTTATTCGGTCAATAGATCGTCCAATTTTTAAAAATTACACTTTTGGTCCTAAATTTAAATTTTAAAAAAAATTGGTCTAAAATTTCAACTTTTGATCTAGATTTTAAATTTTATTACAAATTTTGTTCAAAATTTATCATTTTTGCGCAAATTTCATAACTTTGTTAATGAATTCATTAACTTTAGTTTTTTTACAACATTTTTTCTCAAAATAAAAAATTCAAATATATTTTTTCTTTTATAAAATCATATTTATACAAAAAAAAATCAATAAATAAATAAATAAATAAAACATATTTTCCCATAAAAAAAATCTCGTGTTTTCTATATAAAAATCTTTACTTAAAAAAAACTTTTCTATATACGAAATAGATATTTATTAAGTACATATATTTCTACAAATCCATTTTTATAAAAAAAAAATATAGAAACACGTATTTTACAAGAAAAAATATATACAATTATTATAAATATATTTTGTAAAAACATATTTATATACACCAACATTTCTTTTGTAAAAACATATTTATATATTATTTGTATAGCACCTATTTTATAATAAATGCAATTGTATTCAACTACGTTTATATATAAAATGTATAGAAGCACGTGTCTTATGAAAATATATTTAAAAACTTGTTTATAAACAAATGTATACGAACCTGTTTTATATATATATATATATATATATATATATATATATATATATATATATATATATATAAACATATTTTGGATAAAAAAAACATCATTCAAGAAAATGTATATGCTAAATAATAGTTATATAAGAATTAATAGCATCAAATAATAATTATATTCAAATTTCAAAAGGAATTTTGATCACTGATAGAAAAATGTGCATCTTCATATATATATATATATATATATATATATATATATATATATATATATATATATATATTGTCATAGAACTTTTTTTTTCAACCCATACAATGTTATATTTTTGTTTGAAACCAAAAATAATACATCAAAATTGATTAATTTCCAAGTCATAAGTTACCATCTTCCAAAACAAATTATATTTCAATGTTAAGGGTTTACCTTTTCATAACCTTCTTGTCAAAGTTGGGTGATCAATCATACATGTTACCGAATAGAAATAATACTAAAACAAAGTATTCTTACTCATTGTTTGGCGTGGGTAAAAGGCTTGTGTGTGTGTGTATGTGTGTGTGTGTGTGTGTGTGTGTGTGTGTATATATATATATATAGATAGATATTGTAATGTATGGTTCCTGGTATGTATTCTTAATATTGAATTTCTCATTTTCGAAGGGACTCACCGAGTTGGAGGCCCCAAACTCGTCGAGTGGGAATTGAATTATTAGACGCGAGACTTGAATTCTACTCGATGAGTTGAGAGCCTCAATTTGACAAGTAGGGCTGCCAGAGTGAAACCCTAATTTACAGGGTTTGCACCTTATTTAAACACTTTATCTGGCCCTAATAACAACCTCCATCACCTCCAAGCCTTATTCACGAAACCCTAATCCATTTTGAATGTTCTTAAGCCTTTGTGTGTGTTCTTGGTGATTTTGAAGCTTGAGAATGAAGAGGAAGCTTTGGGATTCAAGAGGAGGCAAGTAGATCCAGATTTTGTGCTGCATTTTAGACTCATTTGAGGTATAAAGTCTATACATTGTTTATTCATTTGCTAGATCCCTTTCATGGAGTAGTTTAGGGCTTTAAGGAACCATTTTTGGAACTATTTTGAGTTTGTGCTGCATTTCAGACTCATTTGAGGTATAAAGTCTATACCTTGCAAGTACATCTAGTGTTTGTGCTGCACTTCGGACTCATTTGAGGTATAAAGTCTATACCTTGTCTATTCATCTACAAGATCCCTTTCATTGAGTAGTTTAGGGCTTTAAGAAGCCATTTTTGGAACCATTCATGAATACATGCTTGTTTGGGGTCAAGACATCAGATCTCGAGTCTTTGAGGGACTCCATGACATAAATGTGCCAACTTTATGGCCATGGGAGTCCCATGGACCGTAAGAAACCCTTTTAGAGCCTTTTTGAGCTAAATAATCCATGCATGAACGTAAAGTTTGTAACTTTACGTGTTATACCGACCCTAGGAGGCCAAATCTATGCTTTGGATGCATTAAGCCCAACTAAAATCGATTGGATAGAATTGGACCTTGGGAGACTCGGTGAGTCGTTCATACGACTCGATGAGTTGGATAATGGTCCCCCAACTTTTGCTGTTACTAAGCAAACTCGTTAAGTCTAGAAGATGACTCAGCGAGTTGGATGTGTTTATGGATTTGAAGATCACAGAACTCAATGAGTCCAAAGATGAACTTGGCGAGTTAAGAGCAAAACGTCCCAACTGTTATGAAGAGGAACTCGACGAGTTGTGAGTGAAATGCCCCGAGTAATATAAAGGGAAACTCGACGAGTTCGTGGAAGAACTCGACAAGTTGATGGACCAACTCGGCGAGTTGAGTCAACTAGAAGGTTGACTTGGACTAGAAGGTTGACTTTGACCAGAATGTTGACCTTTCACCATAGTTGACCCTTAAAGGGTTTATAAGTATGAAAGGGTAATTAAAGGAGATTTTTATGTTTAGGAGTTTGAGATGAGTTAGTTTTGGAACCGATGACAGATCAACAACTTCACGACATTGAGGTGAGTTACCTTCCAGTAGGAGTGGGTCGAAGGTACCAATGTTGGCCCACTAGTAAGTGATTACAGTTTAGATGATTGTCTTTATGATAATTGTGTGACAACCCGAAATTCCCATTTGTACGAACATTATCTATTCAATAGAAGCTAGTCCAGTTTCAGTGATTTTCAGACTTGCCCGAACAAGTTTGTGTACATTAGGGTTTACGTTTCTAGATATATCAGGAGAGTGGATGCTCCTGTAATTGTGAAACTTGAACATTCCAAATTTCATAATGTTATAGTCCAACTTCCGGAATAAAAATATTTTCTGTCAAAATATTTCAGGACTATAAATAGATTTCTGAATTTAATTAATTCATTATTCACAATTCCAACTAGAGAAAAGTAATTTCTCTCTGACGGACCTTCGGGTTTTCATCCCAGATTGTGAGTATACTTTCCTAAATGTGTTTTAATGTTTGATATATGCTTTATAACATTGTTTACATGTCTAAAATACAAGATCCGGGAGCTTACGGCCCAAGAACGTTCTTGGGTTGTAAACTCCAAAACGAAGCCTAAAGGCTTCCTAGTCCCGATTCCTTGTTAGACAACTTGTTTAGGGCTTAATGTATAAACATTTAAGACTAGAAATCAACTAAGAAACCCTAGTTATAGGAGTTTACGGCCAAGGATCTCTCTTGGGCCGTAAACCCCTTTTTAAGGGCTATAAGTGCCCTAAATCACCCCTAAAGCTTAAGGACCTTTACCCTCTAATGCTTGTAGTTAATTTGGACACCAAAACACTTCAAAATCATAGGGTTTTAGGAGTTTACGGCCAAGGAAGGATCTTGGGCCGTAAACCCCTTTTTCAAGGGCAAAGTATGCCCTAAACACCCTTAAAGCCTTAAGACAATTAACCTTAAATACTTAGGACTTGAATGGGGAACAAATGACATCAAAAACACCCCTTAAAGGGAGTTTACGGCCAACGAACACCTCTTGGGCCGTAAACTCCAAGTAAAGGCACAAAGGTGTGCCTAATGTCCCCTTTAGCCTTAGACAAAAACATAGAAGCTATCCTACATGTGCAAGGGCCTTAAATGAATTAAAACCAACACCCCATAGGAGTTTACGGCCGTAAAATCTAGGGGATATGGTCCTTTGGCCGTAAACTCCCCAAAGGAGCTTTCCAAGGCCTTAAACTACTTCAAGGATTATTCCAACAAGGCTAGGCTTATTCTAGGATCAACATAACACTTCAAAACACCCAAAACCACCAAGTGAGGAGTTCACGGCTGTAAACTCATGGGTTCACAGCCGTAAACTCCAAAGGGTGGGGTTTGTTAGGTGGTGAACTCATATACAAGGTCATTGGTGCATTAAACCCCTTTTTGCCTTGTCCCGTATCAACTTAGATGCAACCATTAGGACCTATAACACTTATATAAAGTGTTTACATGTTCCTAAGTGTTTCAACTTACTTTGTTAAGTTATTATTTGGCTAATTAGTTATATATATGCTCATTATATGATAACTAGGCTCGAACGTGTGAACAAGTCTCCGTTTGCCACCTAGCACGGTACCCGATACATCAATCCAATCTACTCACCACAAGTGAGTTCATATCCCTTTAATCAACCTTTGAAATACTTTTAAATGTGTTAAATACTTTATGGGGGGATACAAGTTAAATACTTATAGTTATTGCATCAATCACATGAGATTACATTAATCACATGTGATTTATAACTAGAAAACCAATGATTTTATCACTGTTCAAACTGTTTATCAAACTGCGTCACTTCAAAATGTTTTACAAACTCTTTTTACTTATCAAATGCTTTTATTAAACTTGTTTTACTTCTTATAAATTGCATGCCCATATATGTATAGATATATAAGTAATGTTTAAAGGGCTTAAGAAGGTCATCCGCCCTATTTCCTTTTCGCGCACTGAGATGTGGTCTGGTGGGATTTCAGGTGACCATCCGAAGGTCGTTTCAATATTAGTTATATATCATATATACATGTATAGACATAAAAGTACTTCCATATTCATAATTATCAGTACATCAATAGCTAGTTACCATCGGGGTAACACAGAACAT